TATTTTTTAACATGACTGTTTTTTGGTCAGTTCACTAAGAGACATTTATTGGCAGCTATTGTAATAAAATTGTATTGATTGTGGGTTTAATCTGGAACGATTCAAATGAAACATTCAATATGTCCTCCTTTGTCCTCCTTTTTGTCTTTCTATGTCCTCCTTTTAGTACCCGTGTATCTGTCAACCCTAACCTTAGTCAGGTAGAGGTTAGTTGCGACCCTGACAGCTATCCAATTGTAATCTGTCGGAGTCAAAGGGACAGTTAGAGAGAAGAATTGGAGGAAATTATGAAGAGAGAGTTGGAAGGTTGGAGAGTTAGAGAGAAAATGTGAAGAAGAAAAAATGGAATAGTAAAGCTAAATAGAAAGAGAATATTAATGAGTTGGTTAATGTAAATAAGTAAATACAACACCTGAATAAGCAAACGTGTAATCAAATATAAGAAGTTTAATGAGTGACCCAAACAATAATACAAGAACATCTGTGATTTAAAACCAAAAGATAAATAAACAAGTCATATTGGCAGCACTGGGGGGAAAGTTGCACACTTTTTTAAAAAAATTGTTTTGGTCTCCCTAGTTCATTATGTATGCTTAAAAAAAATCTCAGCTACTGATTTCAGCTTGGAATGCTCAACTCATCCATCCAGATAAGGTTTTGTTTTGGGATTTATTTATTTTTTGTCTCTTGAAGATAGCATATGATATTTTGCTGTTTTTTGCTTTGATTTATATTTCTCATTTTAGTTGCATTTTTCATCTGTGTTTTAACCTTCTAAGGGATTTTGTGGTCAAAACATGACACAGAATTAAAAGGTAAGATCACATCACATTTAAAATTATTGTCTTCCTTAATGGATGGTAAAGCTGGAAAAAAATGCTTGCTTGAATAAAAGCATTTATCCCTGCCTGTTTGTAAAATGGAGAATGCCAGCACTCACCATTTCTCACTTTTGAGTACCTAGCCCACAGGGCTGGCGGGGGGTGGTGGAATGTGCAGCCTGCATAATTTAATTGTAAACCACCCAGAGAATGTTTTAAGTGATATGGAGAGTTATAGGAGCAGCACACTTTTTTTCTTCGTCTCACACTGCTCCATTTTGCCCTCTATTTGGAAGAAGTCCAAATCCGGATAGAGTTTAATGTGTAAGGTCAAAATGGAGTTGGGGCTTACACGCAGGGAAGTGTATCTCAAACCACCCAGGTCACAGGCTACATAGAGCCTGAAGGGAGCAAGGGTGCAGCTGGAATTCTGCCCAGTGACTTTGATCACTGCAGATGTTTCAGCACTCGGGAACAATGCTTTCTTGGGAGCTAATCCCAGCTAGACCACTTAAAGCTTTCACATAGTCGACACATGTAGAATACAAGGCAATGATCTAATCTCAAGATGGCCAAGGTGTACTTCAGCTTTACTCCTTGCTTAGACCATTATTGTTACTACGACTCTGTATAAGTGCCCCCTCACTTTATGTTTTATTAATGTGTTGCACCAGCAAGTATAGGCAAATACTCTCCACTTCCCTCTAACAGTGACTTCCCATGTCACACTTTCAAGAAGCAACAATATGGAAGGCAATACGAAGAATGTTTCCCTTTGTGTGTGCACTCTTCTAGAGTAGGCTTTGCATGCCCAAGGGCACTGCTTTGCCCCAGTGAGAATGCAGAGCAGGATTTTCTGAAGGAATCTGCAGAAAAGTTAGGCTTCCATTCTTTTCCTGATATGTAGCATCAATATGTACAGTACATGGATCCTATAAGAGCAATGATTGGAAATCCTACCTCTTTTTCTTACTCTACTATTTCTGCTTGACCTCCTTTGTACTGCAAAGGGTGTAGACATACCTCTCCTGACATTTTAATTCTGAACTAGAAATTCTGGTAACAGATTGAGATTTAGGCACCATGTCAGAAATTGTCCACATACTTTAAAATAAAGGTACTACTCAGTTTTTTGTCTCATAAAAAAAGGCTTGAACCTATCTTGGTTGGAGAGCAGAAGATGGTCAACAAGGGGATTAATCATAACTAGGGCAGAGGAAGGAACATAAGGCATAAAAATAATGAGTTGTGTTTAAATGTTAGAAATTGGGCAATTACAGTAATTAATTGGCGCTGATGTTTTAAAAGTTTAATATGTTAACCAAAACGGCACTGTTTTCTCACTTTTCTCTTTAAAAGGGAAAGATTCTATACAGTTTTTTAGAGCAGGTTATTCAGCCTTGGCACTTAAAATAGAGTTGGTTTATAACATCAAACTGAAGTTAAGAGTGCCAAGAATCCATCATATTTTTCAGGGCTTTTGATAATTATAGTCTAAGGCACATAGAGCCTCAAGATTAAGAACCAAGAAAGCTGGCTGACCATTCCAACTATCACAGCACTGGGAGAAATTCTACCTGAAACCAGAAGCCTCATAAACGCCTTGCTCTGAGAGCTGGCCAATCTGAACCTAGATCATAATAACACCATTGCTATTGCATCTCAGCCAGGTTAACAACACTATTCCATATATAGTTGGGGAGGTGATGGCGGCGGCGGTTGGCTTCAGTCTCCCATTAATAATATTTGAAAAATAACATTATGTAGAAGAAAACCAGAACCACAAACTTCTGGCTCCTCCCCTAAAAGTCTCTGTATATGCAGGAAAGGAAGGCCCAATCTACTGTTGATGCCTAGTTGAACTGCCCATTTACCTTGTTTGACGAAATGCAAAATAAAATTAATGAACATGAAACAGAAAAGTAACAGAGCCTCTACTGGCACAAGGAGGTACTCTTTTTCATTTTCATTACCTCTGGGATACTCAGAAATACCTGGATTCAAAAAGTAGCAGCTTAGTCATCTGTATTTGCAAGCTAAACAGCACAGCTTCAGCAAGAAGAAAAACATAATGGCCTAAACCTTACCTGTGAAGGGATAAAATTATGCCTGCATAAATTTGTCAGGCATTACACTGAGGCAGCAGGGAATTGCCGATTTGATTGTGCTATCGGTCACATGATTCCCATTGTAACCATTGTACCGTGCACTGGTGGAAGTGCTTTGTGGCTAGCAATTCCACCTTGGGGCTATTGTAGCTATGTCAAGTTATGCTCACATAGCTAAGCAACAGGATTTCAGCCATTTTATGTTAAAGAAAGGTAGTGGGAGTTGCCAGTTGGATTTTAATAAAGCAACAGATCCTCAACTCTGTGGCTTCTGATCATCTTCAACTGTAAGCTTTGAGAAATACCATACACTCTTATTTATGTGAAGGAAGCCTTCCAGGTGTTATTATACCTGAAGTCTATTTACAGGGCAAAGATTAGTTTAGTTCCTGAAACAAAGCATACACTCTTTAGCTTTGGAGTCACTCTCCTCCTTGTATAGGAGGCATATGGAACGTGTGTTTTAACGAGTAAAACTACTGTTAATGTTAATTTTAAAACATGTTCTTTTTAAACATCAGATTTCAAAGTACTTTTTCTTTTGCTTGTCCAGAAGAAGAAGAAGAAGAAGAAGAACTTCATATTTGCATATTCATTTCAACTGTTATTTCTATGCTTTGAGCTTGGTTCACACCCTCCAGAAGAGAACAGCTACCTAAATGTCCATCAGGCCGGATATAAAGCAGCCTGTTCTGACTGCAGGGCTGAAACAGAGCAGAAGAGTGAGAAAGACAAAAAAAGGAAGTGAGGCAAAACTATTACTCTCCACCTGGTGTGCAAGAATAAATCTCATTGCCCCCAAACGCAAAGATCACCCCAAGGCCATAGGCTGGCAGTCTCTCTGTCTCTTTATGGGGCTCCCAGGCTAACTGTTAGGGTCTTTATTAAGCCCCCTGTGTCTATTTTAAGAGGACAAACAAAGTTGTTAGTTTCTTCAAAGCCCGGTAAATTTAATTGCTAGCTATGCTACCTTTGATGGGCTTTGGATCAGGTCCTACATGGTCAAAATAGATTCATCCCTAACATTTATCATCCTTTCAAGATATATTAATTCTCCTCAGTCTCTTTTATCTTGCTTTAGATAATGTAAGGTCATCCTTCTGCTATGCAAGAGGGCCTGTTAGGTATAGGTCCCTCTGCCCTCTCAGTCTTCTTGAGTCGCCTCTCCAAGTGGTATCTTCAGTGTCAGCTGCATTCACTCCTTTGAAATCTGATTTGTCCTGTTGGTCGTGGTGCCTAACTATGGGCGGGCCCTTTAATGTTAATATCCCGATTGGTAATCATATGTATTTCAAGCATGCAGCGTAACGGAACCTGTCTGATTGTTGACAGCGACAAGTTTCCATGGATTCCAGAGCTCCTATTGTTTGTTTGTTCTTATACTGCAGGATTCATTATCGACAGGTGTGATTGAAGTGCTTAGAAAGCACTGCTGTCCCCATGCTCCCTGAGTAAAAGGAAGACTTCTTCAAGGAGGCATCTCCTGCCATGTGACACAACGTGCCCTTATGAATCATGGAACACTCTGCGCATTACCCAAGGGCAAAAGACTGACCAACGGCTAAGCAGGCACAGTGCCATCGTAACAGATGGGCATCCATTGAGTAGCCAAGAAGCCATGTATGTACATCAAGTGCATTTTAGAGCTGGATTCCCAGCCAAGAACAGCTGTCTATCCTTAGTTTAGATGCCTATAGTTTAGTGGGGAATCTGCCATTGCTAATCCAACTTCAGAGCAGGTTTAAACTTTCAAAAATGTATAAATAGCTTTTCCTGCCAGAGAAGGAGTGCTTTTGACCCACTTCAAGTTAAGAGGGTTTGGTGTGTACTTGGAGGACACAGGGGTAAGGAGAATGTCTCTGTTTCCGTCATCATCTTTTTGTAATGTACTGCTGCATGAAGGAAGCATTTCTTCTTCACCATTTCTTGTTAGGTGGGCAGGAAGGACAAGCTGCTGGCGCAAAGTCTGTGAAACTTCAGGGAGAGCAACAAGATGGTGTTGCCAAAGTTCAAAAGTAGAACTGAATGTTGTGTCGAAATTGGCTAAAATCTAGTGGTAAGTCACAATCAAAGTAAGCCCATTGAAGAAATAGGGATTCAGTGAGTCAACACCTGTGTGAGTTTTATTGTTTCAATAGGTCTACTCTGATTGGATTGTGACTTAGTCTTTCACCTTGTAAAGGCTGGATTAGGCTAGATGGGGTTGGTAGGAGATCCGATATGCCATATCCTGCAGTCCTCACATCCAAATGGGTATAGACCTCAAGCGACCCTATTTGATCCACAGCAGCCTTTGCAAATATTATGAAATGGTTTAATAAGATAACCAATTCAGGATATTGGTAAATTAATCACTTCCTTGGCTCTGTGTAGGGACTCAGGCAGTGCCATTTTTTTTAAAGTGCTGAGTCTCAACCAGGCCTTGAAAAGCAAAGCAAACAAAACTTTAAAGGATGAAACTTTCCATTTGTCTTACTTTTTTGAAAGAGGTGCAGCAAATATTCACTGTCAAATAATACTCATTTTTTTCACTTCCTCAGCCCCTCCACAGAGCTGAGGAAGTGATTTGCCAATATTGTGATGTGGCTCTCTTACTCCCAGCAATCCCACGGACTGTAAACAGACCAAATTGGAGCGATTGTACCCTCACCAAAAAAGTACAGTAGATGCCTCTGACAGGAGCTGAGAAGGTGTGGGTAGGAAGGCTCTGGGGATGATTTGGTTTGCTCCAGTAATTACGTCATGTGATCACTGTCAAAAAGAGGAAACCAAACAGTCCCTGCAGTGGTCCAAACATCAGGCTGAATGCCCATCTGATCACACCCTAAGTACCATTTGTTTTCAGCATAGGCAGC